CCTCCCACAAATCCTGTCCCATCAAAAAAGAAAAAAAAGAAAGAAAAAAAAAGAAAAGAGAGGGGAAAAGGGAAAAAAAAGAGATATACAATCCATGTTAATGGTAGAGATGAGTCTAATTTTCTGGGACATTAACTGGAATCTAACATGGAAGGAGATATATGAACTACATGAAAACACCAAGGAAGAAATCTAAAGAATTGGAAAAAAATACATCTCATAATTTTTACAGCACTCTTTTCTTTATAAAAGAGATAAATACCCTCCTATTATTTAAGGGTAGACACAATCTGAAATATAGATGTCACTATTTTTATACTTACATATTTGCATTGTATAAATACTATGAGTCCCTTCACACACTGAACAATATGCTAAGATGTTGCTGTGCAAATGGTGAAAGATACAAATGTCAATGGGCCACAAACTACTTGCAAACAAAAGTTTCCTTCTGCATCCAATTATTATCCTTATTCATTAAAACCATATAATATTTTGGTAGTGTCTTCTAAAGTAAAATCAAACAGCACACTGAGAATTTCTCAATTTTTCACAAAAAGCAAACAGTTGGATTATATTGTTAAAATAAGATTAAGCAACATAACAGATCACAAGAAAAATAGATGCAGTTTACAAAGGTGGGTCTGACTGAAGGAAATTTGTATCACAAAATATCTGTTGGTCCTTTGAAGTTACCAAATAACCAGTGCTGTCCTTGTTCCTGGACCATACTAATTCAGATTGCAGGTGAGTTTGTATTAATTGAATTCTTCACTATAAGCAAAGGGCACACTGCAATTTTAATTCTGAAACTTGAACTGAAACTGAATTCAATATTCCATAATCCAGGAACAACTGTATACTCTTCTTCTTGTATATACTAAGTTCCAACTGCATATTGAGTAATGTTTTTATAAAGCCATTCTTAAATAAAGTATTTTAGCTAACTTTGCTGAGATCCTGGGGAAGGAACTCTCTCTCTTATTGAAAACTGGACTGGTTTACACTGACTTGCCCATTTTGAAACACAGAACTAAGAAAAAATATTTAGCAAAGAAATGCAAAGAGTTTTGAAAAAGTTAGCAATACTCAGTTTCTTCAACAGAATATGCATTATGTGTAATTCCTGCCCTCATGAGATTCACATTTCTCAGGAAAATTGATTTTTCAAATTACAGCTGCAAGGTTGAATTGATTCAATGGTCAGTTACATATCCCGACAGACTAAAATATTACTCTCAAATTAAACCAGGCAAATTTTTATTTTGATAAGCTTGAAAAAAAAACCACCAGTACTTATACAAATGGGAGATTACAAATAGTGTCCCAAAAAAGGAAGTCTTTTTATAAAGGAGTATTTCTTCTTGAACACAACCAAGTGTATGCATGGTGGGCTCAAAAAGAAAACATTTTGTCAACAACAGATCAACTGTTAATTTAAAGCCATATATATATATATGAATGAAAAAGAAAGAAAGAAAGAAAGAAAGAAAGAAAGAAAGAAAGAAAGAAAGAAAGAAAGAAAGAAAGAAAGATAGATAGATAGA